ATCTGGTGGAAATGAATTTTTAAAATACCTATTTTATTGTCAGACTGGCAAAAAGTGTATATTTTGGTGTGCCTCAGAATTTTAGTGCCCATAATTAATTAGTTCAAGTGCCATGAGATGAAAAAGGTTGAAAATCGCTGGGTTGGGCACTTGGTTTGTCTTGGACCAAATGTCTCCATGAATATTTTGAACAGGACCAGATATTGATTAATCATAAGTGTATACAATTATAGTCAGTTTCACTTTCTACCACCCTTGATTATTTTGCTTAGAGTTACCAGTACATGGAAGTCAGCTTAGTTGTCTTTCATTCATTTTCTGTTACCATCACTCCTAAAGGTACCTTTTGCTTCCTCCCAATAAATTAACCATTGTATATAACTTTATACCATAGATTATTTCAATAAAAACCAAAATTCTGAATTCCTATGAGAAAAATAAAATATTGCTTGAAAGATTGCAAAATGTTAATTTCCCAAATAATGTAAATTATTTTACGTTTCTCAGACTCATTCTGATCTTGGTTACTTTCTTCACTAATATCCAGGTTAACATGGATGAGCTTTATGCTCAGGTCATTGACATCATCACTGCAACTTCTGTCTAGGGTATTTATTGATATGGCTCAGTTCGTATTACTTATGCTTCTATTCATTATAACTTAAATCTTAGACTACTGCTTAAGTGATCATTATTTGTGTAAGATTGGTGTGACGAGTCACCCTTATTGATGTGAATTTCATTCATGCAAGGGAAAAGATAGAACACATGATACCCATATCCTAGAGAGCATTTTTTCTTTTTCACCTATTTAATTTATATCTTTTATCTCCTTTGTTTCCACGTAGCAGGATTGTAGTATTCCCTCATAGTGATTGATCCTTATTACTTTGATGTATTTTAAGTCACTGGAATTTTTAAATTTTTAATCTTACAATAGTAATATATATTAAACTTATATTTCTTGTAGCTTAAAGAAAACTAGAAAACCTGTTCTTTTTTCCAGAGCATAATCATAAGAATTTTATTGAGACATGGGAGGTACCTGCCTGCCTTAGAGACTATTAAAATTTTTTTATGTTCAATATTGTTTCAGGGTAAAGAATAGTTTATTATGTTCTAATTCCTTCAGAAATCAATTAGTGATAAGATATTGTTTAGATGTCGAAACAAAATGTGAATTTTCTTTGGGTAAGGAAAAAACTGATTGAGGTTAATTTAGGAAGGGGAATTTTATATGTCTAACTCAGACATTATGTGATATTCAAGCTTTAAAAAATTAAAAAAGGAAATCCATGGCAAAAAAGTTAAGAGTAACCAAACCCAATGTATCCAACTATCTCCCAGGATGCCAAGTTTGCAATATTTTCACTTTTTGTCATTTAATATATCTATTTTAAAATTTTATATTCAGCAACATTACATATTGTCTCTCCTACCTAGAATTTATCAAAATCTGAAACTAGGCTGAATTATTTTTAGAGTTAAAATCAGATCAGTTCTAGAAATTTCTTGTTTGTGAGGCAGAGAGAGTTACGTCTCTAAATAAAAACAGCACATTGTCTAAGACAAAATTTGGCAGTACCAGGAAAAATTAAAACAGTCATCTAGAGTTATTTTAAAGCATCAGAAGAGTAGCTCTCACTGAGAACAGAATTATAGAAGGTTAATGCCGAGAGAGATCCTGAAGATTCTCTAATCCTTTTAATATTGTGTATCATGAAATTAAAAGTAAAGCAATTGCGTTGAAAGACCCTTACAAAGCAGAACAGAAAAGGATCAGATGGAGAGGGAATCAGGAATTTAAATAGAAGGAGGGGGACTGGAAATAGAAAAATATGGGGAAGACACAAAAGTTTGTGCTGAAATATGCCAGCTATAGTTCTGAAAGAAACTACTGATCATACTATCTATACCATTTTCTTCTTCTGCAAAAATAAGAGAAGTGGTAACTTGCTTCCTCCAGGGAAATGGTCTCTGGGCCAGGAAGGCATCCGAAAGCTGTACCTGAGCATCTAGGGCCACATCGACAAGTTCATACCATGTCTGGCTAAAGAGTTGTGGCATTACTTTTCAGAGAAGAGACAAAAAACAAAAACCAAGCAACCAACTTTCCTCTTACTAATTTTTTTAAATTTTTTTTTCTAATTTTTTAATTCAAAATAATTTCATGGCACAATTGGAAATCTCATCTCAACAAGGCAGCTTGTCTCTAAATGCATGCCTGAAAACAGACCCTCTTCTGTTTACAGAAAGCAGAAGTGCCCAGCGTTTGAGAGGTAGTGGAGAAGGAAGTGAGCAGGGCGAGAAAAACGAGGTGCAGAAAAATAGTCCAGAACCCCTGAAATAAATTACTCTCCTGCGTAGTTTTGACATTGTTTATCTTGAACCATATGCAGACAAATGGAGGTTTATGCAGAGAGATTTTCTCATGAGTAGTAATGCGGGCACCGCTCTTTCCATAAATACTTCTTTGAATAGAATGAAATCCACCAATTGATGAAAAAAACTGTTCATTTTGATTTTGATTGGCCTTTCATATGCCACTTTTTCATAAAGGAACTTTGTTCTCAGAAGATATGTGGACAGAGACATGATGGCATTCAGAAAACTTTTAAGGAAAACTCTGGGCTTTTGAGACCCAAGGAGTCGTAATGTTTTAGCCCCAGTAAAGGCTTAAATTTCTGCTAAGAATTAGAAGTGTGTAACCAGGAGCATTGCTTACGAGGGGTGAAATTACCAGAGTTTTCAGCAGTGTCTCAACTTCTGGGGAGACGGAAGGTAATCTGCCTTTCAGTTCTTGTAGGGCAAGATTTGCTTGAGTGCTTTCTGGCATGCTGGGGTCTCCCCTTTGGATCGTGTGCATGATTTAGACGAAGCTGTGTCAGCACTGATTTATACATTGACAGCTCAGGATATTAAGATACGGGCAAACATACAGCTCACCCTTTTACAGATTAACCTGGCGACTGCATTAGGCAAATTTGATAGCATTAAAAGATTTTGCCAATTTGTCTGGAAACAATTTCTCTTTTGTAGTGTGTCAAGGGTAACACTTCATGCCATTGTACTAATTTAAATGGCTTTGATAAATTGTTCGAGAGGTTAGAGAATAGTAGTGTAGATATATATTTAGCACTTTAAAATAAAAGGTTATTAACGTAATTGTTAAATGAATTTAATCTGTAAAAATCAAAAGTGCTCAAGAATGTTAAGTGTTTTCTTGGAACCGCAGCAGCCGTACGTATTATATCATGAGGCTTTAAAGTCTTCTTAGAAAATAAAATGATACTTCTGCATAACTTCCCAAGAAGTAGAAATGCTTTAGGCCATTACAGTAGCATGGATGGTAGCTATTATTTGGGAAAAACCTTTTGTTTATGAAAGCAATAAAATTGCATCGTCTCTGAGGTTGACCCTTTTTCGTATTGCATGTCCCAGATGGAAACATTTGCACGACATCAAGGGAGTCTCCTGTCTGACTGTGTGCCCTAGAGACCTTCCTCAAAATGAGGTGTGTTATTTCATGGGACGTTTGCTAGGTACAGTCCTTTCTAAAGTAAGGAATTCAAAGAGGCCCCTCTGGATTAAATCATTGTACCCTTCCTCAGTAGTTTTATGAGAGAAACAGCTACTCTACGGGAATGTTTAGGCGGTTGTCTTAAGAATAGACCTCGGATATGAATTAGCGCTTTTGGTGAATTCTAGACTGGAAACAAGGACAAGATTCAGGTGCATTGTGATCTCCGTCTTATCCCTGTACATCTTCCTCTAGAGCTGACAACTCATCTGATTATTTCATCAGACTTTCTGCTTCTGCCTCAAGTGAAGCATTAAAATACTTTTTCTTTACTGGCATAATAATATCACAAAGCACCAAGCTACTAGGTTTAAACGCTGCTTATAGGACTGATTGGATTTTAGTATTTAGCACTTTGTTTTATCCAAGCAAATTCCTTAGTGTAAATAAGGAAGTTTTAATTCCAAAAACAGGAAGCAAGAAAAAGCAGGCTTAACCAAGTTCAGAGCAGCCTTTTTTTAAAAAAATAAAATATTTGAATTTTAACAAATGAGTACTTAAACTACAAAAGATTTTTTTGTTTGAATTTTGGGTTATTTAGAAAGAACTGTTACAGCTTGGAAACTTTTTACTGTAGATGTAGGTATCATTTTAATGATGATGCTACAGTGTATGCTTTGTAGTGTTTGGGGCTGAAATTTAGCACCTTTCAGAAAAGCGAAAATTTTCATTGATTTCCTAATACTTTAAAGCCTTATTTCCTGGAGAGTAGTGTATAATACGGGAAGTTCCTTAAGTGAAAAGTGTGCCATTTGTACAGTGCAGAGAATTCTCAAACAATGATAAACAGTGCAAATTATGGAAATAGTGAAGCTGAAAATAGAACAACTGTTAGCTTTCTACAGTGTATTCCTGGTTGGGACTAGCAGGGAGATATATGGGACCTCATTTCTCTTCCTTGATTTGGAGTTCTCGAAGGAAAACTGCTTTTAAAAGAAGAAAACCTAAAAGTAGTCTTGCTCTTTCTTGCCAAGGATAGTGAAATTAACATGCAGCTGGGCTTCTCTGATAAATGGATTCTGTTAGGTCACTGAGGGGGTGCATGTGACATTAAGTGATTTACAGTCCTTTACCTTAATGAAATTGTTTCAGCAAGATGACGCTGAAAGCTCTTAATGGATAGCTTTTCTTGATGTAATGAAATTGCATTCCTATGGCATTTAATATAAGGTGCAGTTATTATTTACAGGAGCTTTCCAAGGGCTGCTATTTGCACAGACAGTTCAGAACAAAAAGAGATTTCAGTGGCGGCTCCCAGGCCAGAATGGCTCGTGACATTCTCCAGCAGACGAGTGTATTTGTGAGAGCATTTCAGGTCGTGCAGCCAGGGCTTCACAGACCCTTCAGGAGACTTCCTTCCCCGTAACCCTGCAAGGCTTCATTCAGCCTTTTACATCTATTCTTCTCATCTGTTTCCCAGGCAGCTGGATTACAACCACATCAGCTGTATAGAAGATGGGGCATTTCGGGCTCTCCGGGACCTGGAAGTGCTGTAAGTATCTCTTAATTCTCTCACTCCTTGCTGGAGCTTTGTGTCTGGGGAGTGCTCATGTGGGAGCTTTTCTGCTAGCTGAAAACATAGTGTCCCTGTGGTCTCCCGAAGAGATGCCTTAACTCATGGTGAAAACAAGGAAGAGTCCAAATGTGCGTGCAGAACCTCGTGTATCGTATCTGTAGGTTTAGATAACACTGTCTGTTTAAGAAGGGCACTCAAATGTTTACACATAATGGCCTTGAAGTGTTTCTTCTTATAATAAAGGAGTCTCATTTACAGAGTTTGTGAGAATTCCTGGAATTGCTAAACGTTAGAGTAACATGAGTTGTATAGGAAAAATCACAACAACAAAAAATAAACCTCTGAGTAGCTGGTATGTTGAGATGGTTTGCAGTTGCTATGGAATAGAAGGACTTTTTCTCATTTTAAACCAGGTAACTTGACATCGATTTCGTAAGGCCATTTTGAAGTCGATGGTCTAGTTTTAATGAGCCGCCCATCGGGCCCGTGGAAGTCCTCATTACTGACTTAGTAAAGCACTCTACAGTGGTTTGGTTTGTATTGGCATCTTCTGCCTTTCCTTCCTGGGCAGACATGACTGACAAAATGGGTTAGAGACAACTGAGTAACCTCTACACATCTTTGACTTGGTAACATAATTTAAATTATTAATTACAATACAAATAGTTTTAATGAAAACCAGAGTTCCTAAAAGCCAGTGAAGCCATCTGTACGTTGCTGGATTTTTTTTTCCAGCAGTTGGAGAGTAACATTTCCAGCTTTTAAAATATACTTGTACATTACTCCCCCTTATAAAATGTTTTTCTGTGCTCTAATTCATCCTTGACTCTGTCTATTCAGAAATCGAAAACTGAATTAAATGTGAAGAAGTTTTGAATGTTGAGTCCAGGTGGTAAAAGTTATCGGGAATCATGAAATCCTCCAGAAAAAAAGATTCCATTTGCTTTATAAATTCAGTTTGAGGAACAAGGTGCAATTCTGAAAAAAAAGTTTAATGTTTTAAGCAGAATGATGCATCTTAGCAATATTTTTATATGATTTTGATTTTGTGAGTAAATGAATAGAATCTCTAACTGTGTTATGTGATGTTATTATTTTCAAAGGCTTATGTAAGAATGAGTTTAGTGAGTAAACTCTGTTTTAAGGATACATGCTATTCGCTAACCACATGAGAAGTCCCCTTTGCTTCTGTTAACAACAGTCTAACTTTTTATATAGAATAAACATTCAAAGCGCTTATCATACATGTTTTAAGGCCACTTTTAAAATTGTGTTCCAGAGCCTGTTTTAACATATGAAGCTCACTGATGCAGAGTCAGATTAATTATGATACAACTATGATTTCAAGATATTAGTCTGATGTCAAGAATGTAGCCCATACCACTAAACTTTGTATGTGAAGAGACCACCACAAGTCTCATTTAATTCAATGGAGCTGATCGAGTCCAAAAATTCGACGCTAAATCAGTGCTCCAAACTAGAAAAAGGAATGATACCAATCATTTTGTGGAAATTTTGCTGAGTATTTTGGATAAATTAAAATTCCATAAAGTACTTTGTTATTAATAGTCTAAATATTTGATATGAAATAATTCATATTTAATATATTGAGCTTATGTTGAGTACTCTATAGAGAGAATATTAATACATTTACTTATATATTTACATATATTTGGAGAAATGGAGAGAGTGTATTTGACAGGGAAAACCTGCCATGTACCAAGCACTATGCAGGCATTAAAAACCTTTTACCCAAAAACACAATAACTATTTCTTTGCTTTGTTATAGACAAATATCATTGCTTTCAGAAGCAGCAAATTCATGAAATCATAGTCACCTCACTTATCTCGTATGTTGCATTAGCAAAATATCTAAAAAGTGACTTTAGAAAGACCCTACTGTCATAAACACACCAAAGAGTGATAAACAGTTTATGGTCCATGGATTTAAAATCAAAATCGAAACTGTTGAAAAACTTTTGAGGACCTAATATGTAGGTCTCAAAGAATTACATAATGATCAGACTTTGTCTGCTAAAAATAAATGCATAAGTAAAATTAGCACATGCTATTAGAAAATATGGATTTCTTTCAAAGTAATTTAAATATTTTATAGAAAGAGTTTATAAAGTCAAGCACATATTCTTTTAAAATATGTTAATTTTTAAATTTTTATAATTTATATAACCTTTAAAGAAACTAACTGATGAAAAATTTAAGGAAAAATTAGATGAAGTACTGAAAACATTGAAATTTATTAAGCCCAAATATCTTGTTATGCAAATCAGAAATTCACCTATTATAAACATTTGGTCAGGAGCTTTTTTATAGAGTTAACTTCTGAAGGGTTTTAGAAACAAAGTTCTCTGTTTTGCTTATTGCACCAATCATAACTGTCTTAGTTTATATTATTTCATTATGTGGAAATAATGAAGGAACATTAATTTGCATATTACCTTAAATTTCAGATTCCCAGTGATTTAGATTTTTAAAAATTTTAATTCCATGAACCATTTATGAACGTATGTATATACTGAGGCCAAACAAAAGATGAGAATAATGATCCAGGGCCACTGATGAAAATTTGTTAGATCAGGAGACATATTAGGTAGAGCAAGTAAAGTTCCGGAAGGTAAAGTTGAGGTAGGTGGAAGCAGGCAGGCAGTTTATCCCTTGTATGTTTTTGGCCTTGTTGGGGAATTCTGGTTGATAGGAATTAGAACTTTTCTTTTTTCTAAATATAAAGATACCATGTCAAAAATGACATTGTAAATTAAATCTAGATCAATGTTTTCTCTTTTTGTTTTTTCAGATGCTACAATCAGAAATAAAATATATCTCTTGAGTTACTAGTTTTAGATAGTTTATTTTTCTTTTCCATAGAATGCACGCAGTTTAATATAATTGAAACATGGTGATTCGTATCCATTAAATATCAGACCAGATCCTATGCCTGGCACTAAGGGAATAAAATAAATAAATAAGTCAAAATCTAAATCCAAGAGGGCCTACGTCATTAGCAAGGCTAACGTTTTGCATTTGCATATCAAGATGTCCTTTGTACAAGAACACATTCTCATTACAGAGAGAAAAATCTGGCCATTGGACGCAGAAATAGACTTTTTCACGACCTTTATGTGAACACGTCATCATATTTAAGCAACACATATGTATTGTTAATTTTTTAAGTAACAATTTCATTGGTTCCACATATTGCTCCAGGTATCAGTATCAACATTGCTAGCATTGCTGGCATCAATAAAAAAGAAAAATTTTGATTTACCGTATTGAATAAAACTTGTTAAATTACTTCATTCCTCCATGAAAAATAAAACTGTCTCTGCTCTAAAACTTAAAAAAAATACTAAGGCGATTTTTTTCTTCACTTGCATTAAGCAAACTAGCATTTGCGAGAAGACTAGATTGGTAGCTATCAGCTTCAGCATTAAGTGATATTCTCTTTTGTGTGGAATCTGAAGAAATTATGGTTCCAAATGAATGTGTATCTGCTGCATTGAATTACATTAAATATATATTATCCTCAAAGTCGCATTTCAGTATGCTATGTCTTCTGAAAATTTTTGCTCTATATAGTCAGCATAAATTTTTAGGGTGGGTAAAGGGGTCACAGGAAAGCAAATCCCTTTGAGAAGTGAAACCTTTTAGTGCAAACATCAGGATATGTTTTAATGGCGTTTGGAAAAAAATATCTCATTTCACTTGTGTGCATGGAAAATGCTACAGGCGTTTAGACAACAGAAGCCATCCAATTCAGAGCTTTATAGGTCCTTCATAAAGTGATCTTTTTTTCCATGTGACTTCATTCAAATCGCTTGGATTAGTTCTTATATTACTCAATACACTGCAAAACTGGAGAGTAAAGCGAGTCAGTGCGCGTTCCAGACATGTAGCTCTAATGCCCCACTTGACCAAGAAGTGTCAGTTAATCTCTCGACCCTGAACACCCGCATCCCACCCTGAACAACTGAAGCCACGAGCTGGCCTAAGTCGGCCTCCCAAATGCCCATTGCTTAGCCCAAGTGGACTTGGCCCACAGACTTTGAAATATTGGAGTTGGTTGCCAGTATTTAAAAATTAAAAAGTAGGAGGATTGATCTTAAAATTTCCAACTCTAGCTTCTCTTGAGAAAATCGGAGTGTTTTGCAGCCTTCCACGATAGCAGCGCAATAGTCCGTTGGCACTGAGTTTAACACTACAGCAAAGAAGAGCCAGTTTTGCAGGGCTCTCCTCATTCCCAGTTGTCTGCTGCTCTTCTCCATCTCTCTTCTCCACAGTATTTTGGTATATCCAGCCTGCTCCTCTTATGTATGCTCCCTGCTTGGTTGCTATAGGCAAGAGAATTTGTGACTTCTAATTCAGATGCGTCTCCAACACCCAAGGTATCCACCTGAACTATTGATCCTGTATTTTCTGCCTCCTTCAGCAATTTGAGCTGCTCAGTCAATAGCCTGCTGTATCTTCTGTTGGCTAGAACCATGTTGCATCTCCATACCATACTCACACAAACTTGGGATGACGATCGTTGCATTTTTGTGTTGCAACCAGATGTCTCCAAAGGGAGAAAAAAAAAAATCCTCTTCTTATTCTCATTAGCTCTAAATTTTTGTAACTTGAGTAGTTCATCTCACCAGTTGGACTGGTTGCTATGTTCGTGTGAGTTTTATGCCGGATTTATTTTTTATATTTCATGTTGCCATAAAAGTAAGAGCCATTCAGGAAATATCAGATGAATGAATGATTAGAAGTAGCAGTAGAAATGGTAATAATGCAACAATGCTTGTTAGGAGAAAAGTAGGAAAAGTTTGGACCAAGCAAGAATCATGCTTACTTTCAGCACATCCCGGCTGACCACCTCGGATTTATTCCAGCTTCATGAAACCATGATCAGCACCACATAGCTTTTAAAAAGGGAGGCAGCGTGTGAGACTGCAAGTAAACACTTAGAATATGTTAAGCTTTTAATGTACTGCTACAGAATGTTACTCCATGCCCACCCAAGGCAAACACCATAGATATTGTTTTTACTACTGAATTCCAACACTGGCCGATATATACAGTAAATAATAATTAGCAGGACTCTGCCTCAGGACCTGAGAGAAGTGATGCTGTGCTATTGCTCTGAGGTTTCAGTTGGAGTTTGCAAATGTGTTCATTTACTCAGGCGCTAATTACACATGATACCCCTCCATGGACGTGTGACTACCTACTGTTTCCACTGTGATTGTCTTATGCTCATTATCATAAACACACATGCATGCATGTTCATGGTGTGTCAGGCAACACATAAATAGTAACAATGCTATGACCAAGGCCATAAATTTGTAGTGAATATTAGACAAAACTGAATGCATAGTGATATATTCAAGTACAAAACTTATTTATCATCTTGTTCTCTGAGCCATCTCTACCAGGTAGTTGTTTTATATAAACATAATCTCTAGATGCTTTCTTCATATTCACATATACAATGATTAATATATTCCATATCTAATATTTTAACTATTTTTTAATTCTACAGCACTCTCAACAATAACAACATTACCAGACTTTCTGTGGCAAGTTTCAACCATATGCCTAAACTTAGGACTTTGTAAGTAGCCACACTATATTATAAAGGTCAATCTAATCAATTAAGTGTTCCCCTTCAGTACTATTTTTAGTAAGCAAAGGACAGATAATTCATTATGGTGGAGATGAGGGAAACACCAGATTTACTAATGTTCTAAATATGGTATTTGAGTAAATTATTCTGAAAACTTGATAGCCGTCTTTTAAGTGTTATGTGTTCCGGGAAGTGTGGGGGAGGGAAGTTCACTCGGAGCCATTGTGGAGGTCAGATTTCATTAAGAAATGGGAGGCCCCTTGATTGGCTGTCAGAAATGATAAATGGTAAATCTTTATGATTTTATTACTGTATGTCAAGTGGCTCTAATAAAGCTAAACCAGCTCTCCAGCATTCTTTGTAACATAAAATTACAGCATCACCTTTTAGTGTTTCTATAATTAAGGTTGTGTCAGCATTTCTATTTAAAAATACATTTTCAGGGTTGCAGATGGACATTAAAATATTTTAGGGGAATAAAATGGCTCTCTAATAAAATATTTTAATGGCTATATGTTTTTTCTCATGGAGAAAAATTAATCGTTAAAGTCCTGTGTGGGGATATTTATTTACAGCATTTTTGGAGATAAATCTCATTTGAACTCAGTTTCAGAATTAGCTTGACCTAAAAAACTGTATTATATACAGTGTGTGAGAAATAGTGAGAAATGTAGCCAAAGCATTGTGCTTATTGAAACAGTATGTTTTTAAGTAGGATGCATGTATTTATTGGGTTTTCAAAATATTTTTATTTCATAACAGCTGATAATTAGATATATTACATTATTTCTCCTCTTAAAAAATCTATTGAATTGCTGGATATTAAATAATTAGGCAATACAAATTTTAATGTCATTTTTTCACATGTCTGTAATAGTCTATCTGCCTGTAATAGTCTATGATTATAATTTTTTTAGAATATGATTTAGTAAAATAAAAGAATTCTAAAAGTATGTAGACATAACTAAATTTTGTTTTCTTGGGGGCTATCAGATTGGATAATCTGACCAAATTAAGAGCTCAGTTCACTCAAGCTATGTTTAATGAAATTGGTTTCTCATTAAATGCAGTTAATTTTTTTCTAAAAAATTGATCAAGCCTTTGTTCTTTGCAAAACAAAGCCACTAAGACTGTAAAATCATTTAGCGCCTGCATTTTTGATAGTGCAGATAGAAATCTGCATAGATTCTCACATAGAAATACCCCACCATTTCTCTTACTAATCTGGTTTTTACATTTTTCTTTTCTGATATCTCTGGTGCGCATGTAACTGAATCACTGTCAGGTGCTTGGTTCCGATGGGAATATTTAGAGAACAATGACATGAAATGTGCTCTGTGGCTTCCAAAGATGCCCCTCTGTCTGCCAATGCATACTGAGCCGGAGGTCACCCAACTTTCCCAAAACGTAGCTTTTTGTTCTGTGTCTTGCCACCTAGTTTTGATGCAAGACTGTTCCACAGCTACAAGCCCAAGGAGATTGTCACAGAGTCACCTAACTTTAAATTCCCTTGCTCTGGTTGTTTCATTATTCTATATTATCACTGCTACTTCAAAATTCCATTTTTATGGTACAATTATCTTTCTGGACTGAGTTCCCTGTTTTAATATCCATTACTGTTATTGGGTTAGAATTGAGCACATCAGCTAAAAGGGGCTAAAATGGTATTACAGTGTCATAGGTGATTCTGGGAATGATGCTTTGATTTATAGCCTTGGAGGTCCTTTTCTTTAGTTTGAGAAAACATAAAAGCCAGTTTGAAGTCATTTGCCTAATTTAGTGGATACATTTGTCTGATGTTTTATTAATGGAGGAGTGCTATTTGCCTCTTGGATGGTTTCCACGATCTGGTGTGGATTCCTGCCAACAGAGAAGGGGCCCACTTCATTCCTTCACTCCTGGCCATTTATAGTTTTCAATTCCAATTTCTACTCTTTGAGGATAGGTCCCCAAGAGCCAAAACTGCAGATCCCTTTTTCTGATATTACACAAAAAAAAGGAAATCAGAATAGGGATCTGAAAGAAGTGTTTTATTAGAATTATTGTGTTTATTAGAATTAGAAGTGTTTTATCTAGAATTATTATTATCTTGTTGAGCAAAAAATGAAAGTGACCCTCTCTGAAAAGATTTTGCAAGCATTTTCCGCAGAGACTCATATTGAGAGGACTAACTAATAATTCAAACCAGGAGTATGACTGACTTTTATTGACGGGCCTTCTCGGCCTAGTCCATGCTTTACCTGACATTTCCCACTCCCTATTGGCTGTCAGTATGTCTGGACTGCAGAGCAAATCGCCTCGAACTTCCTGTTGTTCTTTACCCTTTTGAATGAACATAGTCCCAAAAGTTTCACAGCCATGTTGCAGGTTCTGTGGAATTTGCTCAGCTCACAGATAAAAGACTAGAAACTCGATTCTGTGCTTGTAAACCAGTTTAATTTTTAGACAAATAATTCAATCGAAAGTTGCTAAGCTTTATCTAATTATATGTTAAGAAATAAAGCTTTTTATTATTGCTAAAGCATTTCCCAAGTTTTGAAATAACTATTTCTGGGGGGTTTTTTTGCTTTAAACTTCTTGCCTTTCATTTAGTCGCCTGCATTCCAACAACCTGTACTGTGACTGCCACCTGGCCTGGCTCTCCGACTGGCTGCGTCAGAGGCCTCGTGTGGGCCTCTACACCCAGTGCATGGGCCCGTCCCACCTGCGGGGCCATAATGTAGCCGAGGTTCAGAAACGAGAATTTGTCTGCAGTGGTAAGGGAAAGAGAAACTTGATGTTGTTTGATTTTATGCTGTGTTTAAGGAAACTGTGAAAAATGCACGCTTTAAGGGGGTCAGTGTTTCTCACTAACGTGTGCAATTGTGTACTAATCACTCTATGGAAATCCTCTGTTTTAGTGATGATAATAATATGTTCTAAGACATTTGTGCACGGTTCGTAATTACTGATTATTTATATCCAAGGTATGATGAAAGACTTTTCAGGTTTCACTCCAGGGGAAATATAGGAAATCCCTAGATTTTAGGTCTATTTGCTACTCATTATTTTCCCTTTAAGTAATCATTTAAATCTACTTTTATGTTAACAACTGGAAATATGACTAATTAATCCTGGATCTCTGCTGGGAAATTCAAAAAGTAACTCCACGATAGCTGTAGAGTGACAGAATGTTTTCTGTGTATACATATATACTACGGGTTCAGTTCTACCTAAAAGAGATAAATGGCCAGCCTTAGTAACAAAAATCTGAAAACAAAAATAAGACATGGGCTGTTTAAAACATCAGCAGATACCAGTTATTTAATTCTTTATATGCGCTTCAGCACCAGTCGAAGTATTTCAAACATATTTACCTCATTATACCTTACTCATAACAACTGTAGGGAAATGTAATATGATGAGAAAATGGAATACTTTGAGCCAATCCATGGATAGATAGATATATATGCTGTGTTTATAAAATTATATGTTAATATTATTTTGATCCATATTAAGATATAATTTCCTTTATAAATATAGGGCTGGTTCTGCCTTAGGAGTGACTGTCCAAAATACAATAAAAGACACTTTAATAATATATGTAGTGCCTTATAAATAGGTAACCATTTCTTAAAGGAGTGAGAAGCTGTGCTAGTATAGGTTTCTAAGTGATTGTCACCTTTTAGTCCTTTTTTATGTATTTTCCCACATTTTTTATAACTCAAATAAAATTTTCTGGTAATGTCATGGAATGTTCTCAATAGGCTTGATTGCTTTTTCTTTAAAACAACTCAATAATGAAATGACTAACAATTTGTTACTAACTACGTTTTTTTCTCTTCGCTTTCCCTTCCTGTTTTCTAGATGAGCCAGAAGGCAAGTTCACGTTTCTCTTGTAGACTGTTTTTGTCCAGTCTGAGGGCTTGTTCAGAGGTCCCTTCCCTGCAGGGCGGGGAGGCCTTCCCCGGCTCCAGTGGCCACCTGTGTGCACGCGCCTGTTTGCTAAGTGTCTCTGACACTACTCTGCATCTTTTGAGCAGTAAAATCTCATTTCAAAATAGTTGCGTTCCAGATAAAGAGCAATAAAATTATCTGCAGGAAACGAAGACTTATGCTAATATTTTAGGTTATGGGAAGCCACAACCAGAAACATACCAACAATTACAGAATGGTGTGTTACAAATTACTATAATAACTTCAAAGGAAATGACCGTTTTTGCACCTATGCAGACATTAAACTTAGCATGGTTTAATTTTCCCCCACATTTATCGCCACGTGATTACTGATTTAAAATCAACAGTCTACCAAGTTTATCAAGAGAGATGTCTCTTCCCCCAAGAGGGAAGTGTCTACCAAGAGGGAAATTTTTATTTTTGAGACAAAGCAAGATCAGCTGTATAGGCTGAATAAAGACTGAGCTCTATTTAAGCTTATTTGAAATAAAACACAACTTAGTCTGAAGCTGATGCTTTTCTGGAGCTCAGAATAGTTTCCAATAGAATTCTGGTTTCAATTCTGAATTTAGCCTTTCTCACAACAATTTCACATCTTAAAAAAATTATCACAGTTGTCCTTCCCTTTAAAAATCTTATTTGCTTCATCAGAGTGTTGGCCCCCCAAAATATAAATGTATGCTTTCTAAAATGTATTTTAGAAATATAGGACCATTTTATAATCTGGTGTTCCGAGTACTATATTTGACCTGCCTTGTTATTTGAGATGAGCTTGCATGTTTCATAATTATGAAGTTCAAGGGGGAAAAATGTAATTGCTATTTATGTTTTTGGTTTTTTTTTTCAGGTCACCAGTCATTCATGGCTCCCTCTTGCAGCGTTTTGCACTGTCCAGCGGCTTGTACCTGTAGCAACAATATCGTAGACTGTCGTGGGAAAGGTCTCACTGAGATTCCCACGAATCTGCCTGAGACCATCACGGAAATGTATGTGCCCCATAATTTCCTCTTACCCCGCCCCACCTCCCCAGGGGCCCAAACCATGGCTTTCCTTAGGGAAGTCTGGGTTTATCAAAGGCAATCTGATCAATTAGCCTAGACAAATGTTCCTTTCAGAGTGGTATTGACCCTTACTCTGTTTAATTAAATATCTTGTTAAACTGGCTAGGATTTGTCTTTCTAAAACACAGGTAGAATTTAAAAGGGATACATTTTAAGGATAAATAGCACTTGTCCTTCCCTTGGGAAAGGGTTATGGGGCTATTTCGGAAAAATTAGAGTGGCTCTTTTAGTCTGACCGCGTGCTCCAGGGGTCTCCTGGGGAAGCAGGTCCCAGAGACACGATGGGCAGACCTCGTTTGGCCTCTACAAGACCTCACGTTTTAAAACGCAGTTTAGCCATTTTGTGCCAACGATTGTATAGTCCACCACAAAGTATATAAAAGGATAATAATATGAGTCAGAAAATAATATACGTAAATTAGTGATCGTTGCAACCTGTTTGAATCAGTGTTAAACTGGTCCAAAGTCAAAATCTCTTGACAAAGTCTTCCACACCGATCTTGCATGCAGCCACAGGGGACTTTTGTCCTTGTCAAGCACACATCCTGCAGATGAAACAACCGCCTGTAAAACGTGAAATGGGCTGTTGTTGTCATCAGGGGCATGAGCGTTAAGGAAAACCTTTACTCTGATGATACCCATTCACTAAGAAACATTTCTTAACCACCCAGGTGGTCATATTATTGTTCAAGAAGCTAATTCTAAATTTCATCTAAATAAATAGCTTTGGGCATCTTTCGGTTGAAATAATAAAACAAGACCAACTTCTTGTGATACATCTACATAGTAGGCACAAAAATTAAGTTATTTAAAAAACTATTACTCATTTTATAGAACTTACTGGAATAAATTGGTAATATTATATGAATTTCAGGTGTACAATTTTATAACACAACAATATACTCTGTACTCTATTGTATGCTTGCCATCAGAAGTAGACTCCTTCCTTTTTTTCTTTTTTGCCAATTAACGGCTCTAATTACTTTATATGAGAATAACCTTAATTCGCAAGACCCGCTGACATCCCCTTTAAAATATCTAATGTACACTTAAAACTGTGCTTAGAGCTCTGCTGTGTTAGACCGGATCCTCTGCCGGGACTCTAGAATTTATGGCGATCTGTCCCAGACACGGAATAATATATGCACAAAATAATATTATTCTTGTCAAATTGTTAATTGATGGGACACTGTTGTACAGAGAAGATCTTTGTAAGCATATTTTAGCTGAACCTGGAAAGAAGGAGAATATATGGTTTCAGAAGTCAAGGGTGATAGCTGATAAAAGAGAAAGAGCAGGAACTTAAGGCAGAGGTGGCCGTGAGTATCAGTTGTAGAGATTGTACATTTGAGCCTAATTGGAGTACTAGGTGTATGTTGAGGCATCATGGGAAATGATACCTGAAAAAAGGACATCTCTGTGTAACTTTCAACCCACAGAGTATTGAGGCACTTTCATCTTAATATGTGATCAACTAGATAGTAGAAAGATATGTTAAGTTTTAGAATAGGGAAATACTGTATTCATCTATCCAGGCACCAGCACTTGCTAATCTTTATATAAAGGCAGCATGAATTCTCCAGAGAGCTTTTATCAAGTGACTAGCAGATTTGACACTTGAATTAAAAACTGTGAAATGAGGTGCAGCATAGTAATTCATTGTAAGAGATGAATAAGTAAAGTCAAAGGTATTGATTACTGAGGCAGTGAAGTGGAGGGCCAGGGACAGTGGTTAATGAGAGTCAGAGTTTTGGTTAGAACCACAGGTCTGCCCACTGCTGACTCTCTGTGAGACTGTGGGCAAGTCACTATGAGCCTGTCTCCACAAACAAAAGTAAGGGCTGTTTTTAGTTTGAAATGGAGTCATTAGCACATGTTGAGCTTTATACGCTTAGTGTATAGAAATCATTCCATAAATGGTACCTTGACCATTGAAGCCTTCAGGTGGGAGGGAACTTGTGAGGTAGGCCTTGAAGAATAGGTAGTGCATAGAAATGCAGAGATGAGAAAGAGACTTTCCACGTTAATAAAACTTCATAAGCAAAGGCAGTAAGAATGGTGATACAGGACACGACAAAACTCACTTTGGTGTTTGCAGCCTGAGAGAGTGCAGGAAAATAAAATTGGAAAGGGTGTTTGGAGGTAACTCATATAAGGCCATTGATAGTATAAAGATCTGTCTTTATTTGGACTGCATTTGAATAGGGAAGTTTTAATATAATCTTCAATAATTAATCCGACGGCTATATACCAGTGGTTGGCAAAAGGAGAGACTACCAGGCCTGAGGCCTCTTTGGAGGCTGTTACGTTGATTGAGAGGAGATGTCAGGAGAATGGGAGCTAATAAGTAACTGTCGGAATGATGATGTGGAAGCAGAATTAATGGGATTTGCAATTTGATGTGATGAGGGAATAATGGAGAAAAATGAACTAAAGATGATGCCAGAGTTTCAAGTATGAGGGGTTGGGAGATGATGGTTATATTGTTATATACAAGAAGCTGAGGGGCAGGACCAAAGCTGGGAAGGAAGATGGTGGTAAGCAGTATTTCTGAAATGCCAAAGCACCAATGCAAGATTTGGAGGTACCGAAATAAAACAGACTGTGAGTAATGTGAGAGACTGAAAGTAATATGAGATATTTAAAGTGGTTTATCTCACGTGGTCTATTTTACTTTTTATAATAGAGCCTTTCTTCTCTTTTGCATGCTCTTAGATTTTGTATGATGGTAGAATTTAGTAACATAAAAGTTATACAAAATAATATGTCCCATTGATTTTGCTTATATTGGGGAGGTGGTGTATGCAGTACTGCTAGAATAAATTAAATTTATAAATTGAGGTGAAAATATATATTTAGCTTTAGGTGAATTTTACTTCTCTTATTATTACATTACCAGCTTTCTCATTGGAGCATCAAGTAATAAGTCTTATTGATCTTCAACTCCAACAAAATACCGCCATTACCATTAGTTCTATTGTCATAATTTGCCAGTTCACTAATCTATTTCTTTTATTACACTTATCTTTTATTAAAGATATATCAATAAAATTCATAAAATGTGGAAATAAAGCTATATAACGTCTTCTAAAAATTTTTATAGATCCAGTTTTAATATATGATGGACTAAAAATTATAAAATCATATTTTTCAAATGATTTTAATCTGGACTTTACCATGAATTACTAGTAGGATTTCTTTATTGGACATTATTAGATATTATTAATGTTGAGCTAGTTTCCTACTGTGTGGTATGTCCTTATTCCTACAACTGCCTCATAATATAATTCTGACCAAAACAAAGTATGTATATGCTCTGTGTTGGAGTAATCAATTGCCAAAACAACCTTGACTCATCCTATTTTTTTTCTGCTTTGTGCTTACATCTATAATTGCACACTTCTGGTATTTGCTTAAATAATTATTTGTTAAGATATAGAAGAAGGGAGACAATCTTCCAAAGTCAGAATTGGAGAAGAAAGAATAGAAAGAGACTAACACTTACCCAATACCTGCGGTGCTGGGTGTTATACACACTATATCATTTGATCTTCTCGTTGACCTTTGCTGATATATTTGGGAAGACCAGTGCAGAGGTGTACATTACATAAAAGGCAGTGGTTTTCCCCAAGAAGCCTTGTCACCAGTGGTTTTACCATGATCCAAGATCTGTCCTCCCATTTGTAGGTTCGAAGTCAGACTCTGACTGTGCTTAATTATTACGTGTGTGTGTGCGCATTTCTATAGAAACACAATAGTGCTTTTAAACATAAAACCATAAGAGAAAAGTTAGTGAATGGAATGTGTCTCATACTGGCTTAGACTGCAGTCTCTCTGTGGGTCCGAGAGATCCTTTTTCTCTTCCGTAGGCTGGCCAACCCAGTATCTAATAGGCCCCCTTCTTCCTTAGACAACGATCCAGAATTGAGTCTTCTTACAGATGTCTCAGACATCTTTCTTTAAGGTCACATATCATCCGTAATGAACCATAGACACTTACCTCGGGGGCCTGAAAGGCTGGCAGCTTCAGTGTGCCATTTGAAAAACGATGAGGCTCTTTATACATGCCCCTTGACCCTTGGACAAGGACAATTGGGGAGGATTGAATGTGGGAGGGGGTGGGCAAGGCAGGGTAGAACACTGGAGAAAAACGAGGACAACTGTAATTGAATAACAATAAAAAAATTAGAAAAAGGAAAAAATGAAAAAAAATGAGGCTTAAAACAGTTAAGAAATCTTGTAAAACCAAAATTCTTCAATTGCGAAGTGGCTAAACTGGCCATAATATTAAATTTACTTGACTCCAAAGTTCATGTTCCTCCTTCTCTCTAGCTGCCCAAGGAAGGTAGCCATGGTTTAGCTTATTGGGACACAGTGAAGGAGAATAATCAAAAATATCACAAGAGGCTGAGTGATTAGTCAGAAAAACAGGACATGGGAAACTTTAAGACACTTACATGTCAAGAGAACTTAGAAGGAGTGTAGAGAAAGACAGGGCAATTGGGTATAGGCATGTTTGCAAACCTGAGAGCTGTTTCCTGTTACTTTGTATCTAGAACCACCACAATGCCATCTTTCTTATTCTCTGTTAAATATTCTCCAATGTCCGAGGATTTAGTCTGCATAGAACTTCTAACACATACCAAACTATTCTATTAGACCGCAAGCTTAAGGAGGGCAGAGCCGTGTCTCTTTCCTTGCTATGTCTGCCCCAGTGCCTAGCAGAGTACAGGTAGGAGAATGATGGTGTTGGGAATAGCCAGAGAGGGTCTGGGGAACACAATCTGGACGGCCTCTAAGCCTCCGTTCTTCATAGTAAAAACCATATATACGTTTTTTCTATCTTTTTTAGTCCAAATACCTTTGCCATATTTTTTTTGTCTGTCTCATATGACAAAGGAATTTGGACTAATGAAGACAGGGAC